GAAACAATTCTGAATATAAACTTTATAATTACAGTGTGGAAGATAAATTGATGTAGTAAGACCTAAAAATAAACGAAGGAAATGTACCTAACAAATAGAATAACAACATTGGATTTCACTGTATTCGTTTTTTAACACGATGTCCATTTATTTTCTGGAGAGGATGAATAAAAAATTTTTAGTCCCTGTCTGTGATGTCTTGTTTGGGGTAGGTAATATTGTTAGTTTCTCAAATTACACGAGCTCATTTTTCTAACTTATATATTCTGTCAACTGTCATTCTCTATCTCCTTTTTTAAGCTAGTACATTACATTTCCTCCCTTACTGAAAATTAAAGAACACATACCAAATACAAAATAAAGTTAAACTCAATAACTCATATGACGCACATGCCATTAGAGTTCTACAAGATAGTCCCGGAGCTTCGACGGTGGTTTTCTGTCTCGCTGGGGACGTCGTTCAGTGGGCGTCTCGACTCGTTGATTTGGGGGACTGTTTACTTTGTCTTCCGTGTTGTCTTGTCTAAGGGGTGTCGTGGCTGGAGCTGTCGACCTTGGAGGTGTTGTGGGGAACGGTGCTCGCGTTTGTTCAGATTGGGAAGATCGACTGGGTGCCAGACTTGTTGAGGGGTGATACTCTGGCGTTGGACTCTGTGCTGAGTGGTGTGGCTTGAAGAATGATGAATTTCTGACAATCACCTTTTCTCTTCGTCGAGCTTCAATTTGTGAACCGGTGATTCTAGTGATCGTGTATGGATCTGGATCAAAGAGTGGAGTCAGCGAATTCTTCTTTTGTTGTTTGCAAAGAACTTTTTGTCCAAGTTGTAAGCGATGTTCAAATGTCCTTCTTTTACGATTGGCGCGTTCGTTTTGTTTTCTTCTGTTGTCGATGTCCGTTTGGGGATTGTATTCATGAAACGTCTTGTTTTTGAGAGTGGGTAAGAAGTTGTTGATTTCTCTGTTGAACATAATTTGATATGGTGGGCAGTTTGTTGTTGAATGAGGGGTGCTTCAGTAATTGATTAAAAATTCTTGAATTTCTGCGTCTGGATTATTGCTGTTGATTGTTGCGCACAAGAGGGCTTTCTTGAACGTTTTCACGAATCTCTCAGTTCTGCCATTTGCTTCTGGCCAACGTGGTGTTATCAAATGATGCTTGATGTTAAGGCTTGAAAGATATTCTTTCAACTCGTATCCATTAAAGGGTGGTCCATTATCGGATTTAAGTTCTTTTGGTAGGCCAAATAGTGCAAATGTCTCGTCAAGTACGGGCTTCAGCTGTTTGAAATTGGTCGATGGTACTTTTTTGACGAATGGGAACTTTGAGAAATCATCTACCATTATGAAATAATATTTTCCATCTGGAAATGGTCCGGCGTAATCTACATCTAGACATTCAAGCGGGTGAGTGGATGTCGGGTATGTTTGAATCGGATTTCGCTGGTTGTAGGGTGTTACTGCTTGACATGCTGTGCATGACTTCACTACTTCTTCTACCATTTTGTTGATGTTGGGAAACCATACCTTAGTTCTTACCAGTTGTTTGGTTTTAACGAGACCTTGATGACCTTTATGTGCCAATCTGATAATGTTTTTCTGCAGTTTGCTGGGAATTACGATTTGACTGCCTTTGAGAATAATATTACCATATACAGTGAGCTCTTGTTTGATTTGCTTGAATGTTTGCAGTTCTCGTTTCTTCCAAAACAAGGAATCATCTTCTAACAAGGCCTTTTTCAGTAGCTGCAACTGAAAATCATCTTTCATTGCATTTTCGATTTCTTCAAGTGAAATTGTGTTTGGTAGTGAATGATTGGTTACAAAAGCTACGTATTCTTCACTTTTATCGTATGCTTCTGGTGGGCTGTGTGTTGGATGACGAGATAAATAATCAGACGGATTTGTTATGCCTCTTTGGTATTGAACTGTAAATTTATAAGGCTGAAGTTTCAAACAAAGTCGTTCAATGCGTGCGTTTGGAGCTGATCGAGGGTTCTGTAGGATTGAGACCAAGGGTTTGTGGTCTGTGTGTAACACAAAGTGACCTCCTAACAGGTATATTCTGAAGTGATGTATGGCCCATGTTGCTGCTAATGTTTCTTTCTCTATTTGACTGTATTTCTGTTCGGTCAAAGTTAATGTTCTGCTAGCGTACGAAATAACTTCTGTTTTGTTATTAAGTTCTTGCGAAAGGATCGCTCCAAGTCCTATGGGACCAGCGTCTACATAGAGGTGCGTCTTTTTCTGTTGGTCAAAATAGGCGAGGTTTCGTGCTGATTCTAGTTGTTTCTTAAGATCATTAAAAGCGCTGTGATGCTTTTCAGTCCAGTCCCATTGAGCATCTTTTGTAATCAGCTCACGTAATATTGCAGTATTTGTTGCTAAGTGAGGCAGGAACTTTCCAACATAATTCAACGTTCCTAGGAAGCTTCTTAGTTCATGTACGTTTCTGGGCGGTTCTAGGTTAGAGACAGACTTGACTTTGTCTGGATCAGGGTAAATGCCTTTGCTAGAGAATACATATCCAAAGAAATCGATTTTGTTTGTGTTAAAAATGCATTTCTTTGTGTTGATTGTCAAATTATGGTTATCCAAACGTTCTATTACTTGCTTGAGAGTCTTATCATGGTCTTGTTGAGTTGTTCCAAAGATTAGTATATCATCGCTGATGTTTAACACACCATCTATTTGGTTTAACAGTTGTCTTATTGTGTTTTGAAAAATCTCTGCAGCGGAATTTATCCCAAAACTCAGTCGTTTATATTGATACAAACCAATATGTGTTGAGAAAACTGTTATATACCGTGAAGATTCTTCTAATGTTAGTTGGTGGTAGCCATCTTTCAAATCAACCTTTGAGAAGACTGTTGCGCCATTTAACTGGGCAAATATTTCTTCAATAGTTGGTGTTGGATGCCTTTCTCTAAGTATGGCTTTGTTAGCCTCTCTCATGTCTACACAAATTCTGATAGAGTTAGGATCGTGATGTTTGGGAACTACAACTATTGGTGAAACCCAGGGAGTTGGTCCTGTTGCTTTTTCAATGATGTTTTGTTTCATCAGTCTTGTTATCTCTTGTTCAACTGCTCCACGAAGATTTATTGGAATTCTCCTGTGTTTATTTGCTACTGGAGGAATTGACTCATCAATATGTAGCTTGACAGTTTTGTTCTTGAGACAACCTATGCCATTACATAAATTAGGATGCTTGTTTTTGATATAGTTCATGTCCATAGGTTGATATATCATCATAGATAGTTGTATCAGCTGCAATTTGTTTGCTGTATCGTAGCTCAATAATGATTCACTGTTGCCTTTTATCACAAATACATCTGCTCGCGTTTGGTGGTTGTTATAATGGAACAAACCTTTGAATTTTCCAACTACTTCTAACTGTTGTTGACAGTTGTACGGGAGAATCGATGAGGAATCTGGTTGTAGCGACTGCTGATGAAATTCTTTAAATGTGTTTGAGCTTATCAGATTAACAGATGAACCAGTATCTACAATGAAATTGATTACTTTCCCATTCAACTTAACATGTACCTGAGGGCATTTCATGGCTGTTCTGTCGTTTGGACGAATTGCTGTTTTGAAAGATGTCTCAGAATTAGTTGACTCTGGCTCCATATTAAGCTCATTAAAGCGAATTTGTGCTCTGTTCTTCCTCTCTCCATTATGTTTCTTGTTTATGCTAGTATTTGTGCCATGGTTGTTGTGCTGGGGGTTTGCTCGTGATTGTGCTTGTTGCTGTTGTGTTGATGTGGTGGACATGCAGACTCGGGCGTAGTGTCCTTTCTTGCCACAACTTCGACAAATTACATTTAGAGCAGGACAAGCTCTCCTCCCATTTGGATGCCATTTGCCTCCACAATTTTTGCAATTGTTCTTGCTCGTACCACTGTTGGCTGGTGCGGTTCTGTGTTGCGTTTGTTTGTTTAGGTAGCTACATTCTTCTGTGCTTGTGTTCATGACATTCTTGTCTTCAATGACCTTCAGTTGATTAGCTGTGCACTCGATTGTACGTGCTCTGCTCAATAGATCATCGAGATTGGGTTGTTCAGTGAGTCCATATCGACGTAGTTCTGTGTACTTGGTGTTCATGATGATTTGAAGTTTGATTTCTTCATTTGGGTTCTCAAACGTGCAAGTCTTGGATAGTTTCAGTAACTTTGCGTAAAACTGATCAATTGTTTCATTCTCGCTCTGTCTGGCTTGCCTAAAATTAAACATTTCAAATTCTTTGTTGACTCTAGGGGTGAAATATTGTTTGAGCTTTCGTTTAGCTGTTAAATAAGGTGATTCATTGGGTTGTGCTGTGTTTACTGGTAGTTCAGGAAGTGACAAATATAAATCATGAACTTCTTCGCCTGCGTAGTGGAGAAGCATGGCTTTCTTTCGGTCTTCATTATCGATGCCTGCAGCTATGAGATAGTTGTCAAAACGGTTGAGCCACTTTTCCCACCTTGAGCCAACGTTATTGGGGTCTTCTGCTATATGAAATGGAGGTACTGGTGTTGAGTGTGTGTCCATGTTCTGTTATCTTTTTCTCGATTCGTTTGTTGCGAACCACGTGTTGTGTTGAGGTTATGTGTTTCTCCTGTTCTCTGTTCCGAGTGTTCGTTGTTTTTCGCTTCGTTGGTCTTCTTCTGAGTTCTTTTAATACTCGTCGCCAAAATGTGATGTCTTGTTTGGGGTAGGTAATATTGTTAGTTTCTCAAATTACACGAGCTCATTTTTCTAACTTATATATTCTGTCAACTGTCATTCTCTATCTCCTTTTTTAAGCTAGTACATTACACTGTCCTGCACAAAAATAAGTCTAAAAAAAACTCTAAAATCAAAATCAAGCTGTCTGAAATTAAAATTTCACTTTACTGACTTTAATGGGTAAACTTAATCCGTATTTTTCTAGATTTGTGGTACTAGTGGATAAAAACACAAGGGTATTTCAACAACTTTATTTTTTAGCAAGTTATGCAACCAATAATTCAGCCGAACTTAGTGTCAGATGTCAACACGTGTATAACCTGTAAAAGTGTACGTCATAATAAACTTTTACCGTGATGTGTTTTCTGTTTTTTACAGTACTATTATGACTAACGAGCGACACTTAGTATACCGGTTTTTTTAAACAAGAGGGTGTTAAAACTCATAGTCCAAAAGTTACGGTATCAAGTGCAGTAATAATTTTAGCGTAAAACGAATAAGTAGGTCCTAAAATCGCGGTCAGTTACAAGAGAAAGCGTCTTAGAAAAATTTTCTCAACCTTAGTTCAACAATGAAGATTGTCACTGCAGTAGCGCCTGTTAACATCGCCGTTATAAAATATTGTAAGTACATTTAACCCCAAAACAAGTATCTAGTGCCCCATTTCCAGGGGGAAAAAGAGACGAAACCCTAATCCTTCCCATAAATGACTCCATTAGCTGCACCCTGGCCACAGACTTTGTAAGTACCAAAACACATAAAGTACAATCCCAAAAAAATCCAATTTAGATGTGCGCCAAAACCACCATAATGGCAAGCCCCACCTTCACAGACAACAAATTCTGGCTAAACAATGAAGAAGTCGACTTCAACAACAAAAGGTTAAACAATTGTTTGACTGAAGGTGAGTCCCATTCACTCCATGCAAACACGTCTAAAAATATCCATTCAAGTAAAAAAACGCGCCAGTCCTAAGTGCGCGGACCTCCTCAACTGGAAAATACACATCTGCTCAGAAAACAATTTCCCGACGGCAGCTGGCTTAGCTTCATCTGCAGCAGGCTATGCTTGCTTAGTTTCCACTTTAGCTGCTTTATATGAAGTTGAAGGAGATATTTCCAGTATCGCACGAAGGGGGTCTGGAAGTGCTTGTCGCAGCATCCATGGGGGCTTTGTGTGGTGGCAAAAGGGGATACAACCTGGAGGTGAAGACTCAGTTGCTGTTCAGATAGCCCCGGCGTCTCATTGGCCGGAAATGAGGATGATCATTCTTGTGGTTAGTGATGATCAGAAGAAATATAGTTCTACTAGTGGAATGAAGACAAGCGTGGAAACGTCGGAGTTGTTGAAGTATAGATCTGAGGTGGTTGTTCCAAAGAGGGTGAAGGAGATGGTTGAAGCTATAAAAACTCGAAATTTTGAAAATTTTGCGCGAATTACAATGCAGGATTCGAATCAGTTTCATGCTGTTTGTTTGGATACTTATCCGCCGTGTTTTTATATGAATGATGTGTCTAGATCTGTTGTAGAGTTGGTGCACTCTTATAATAAGTATAAAGGGGCTACAAAGGTATTTCGTGATTTAAATATAAAATTGGACTTGGTAAAGTTTTTTTTTAGGTGGCTTATACCTGTGACGCTGGTCCTAATGTATGTTTGTACTTACTGGAGGAGAGTATTGATGAAGTTGTTACTTTAATTAATGACGTTTTTCCGTCAAGTGTGGGTCCATCTGAGTATTTCAGGGGACTTCCTGTTAATATTAAAAATAGGGGTGGTTTGCAGGAGGTTTTAAAAATTAAAGCTGACGCCCCTGGAAGTTTAAAATATATTATTCATACTAAACTAGGCGATGGCCCTAAACTTTCAACAGAAAAATCGCAGCATTTATTAACTGAAAAGGGACTCCCACACACTTCTTAATTTTTAGCATGACTAAGAACAGATCTGGGTATTTATAAGTGGTTCTGTGATTCTGGTTGACAATATTTATTCTATTTAGGGTTTTTTAGTTTGTTTTTTTTTTTAATAAAACATTTATTTACCTTACAACATTTATTACTAAAGATTAATTCCAACACGCTCGAATTGAGTTTCCAGCTCAATTAGTGGGCTGAGTTTTCTCTGAAAAATAGAAAGCAGAAATGAGCTCCAGTAAATACGTTCCCATTTCAAGTATTAATAAAAACGTTAGTTGCAACCGCACACGTTAGTTTTTTTTACTGAAAAAAAATCACACAACTTACAGGAACTTAATCGCGCGCATCTAAATAAAGTGGTGGCAGAATTAATAACGAGTCACGTAATTGTGGGCAAATACTCACTTATAGGCTTGCCGTCGACCCATTTTGTGATTCTGATGTGAGTTTCATTTCTTTTGGCTGCTTCTGCTCTAACTTCGGGTTTCAATGCTTGCCGAAGCAGCCTGGCAGCAATGTTTGAGTAGTTAATGTAGCTGCAATTACAAAAATCAAATTATGTAATGCGAGAATGACATAACCTCAATTCTGACTTTGGAAAACTTTATGATCACCCAAAAATTACTCACTTAAGACCGGCAGCTCTCCACGCAGACATTTTTGGTGTTTGAAGGAGGTAAGGTTGTGTTAATTACAGAAATTTGGATGAAAAAATTGACAAGACTGAATTTTTTCTAAGGGTCAACGTTATCTGTCAAAAACGTAAAAATTAACAGACATGCGCACTAGCATACATGATTTCCGCACCCGTGTCGACCAATCACAACAAAGTACATCGGCGCTAAATTCAAACTGGACCAAAGTCGAATGTTATTGCATTCATCTGTGTGTGTTTTTAAGATTCTTAGCTTTTCGATTTTAGGATTTCTCAGTTTTTCGATTTTTATTTCGGCAGTTTTTTCAGGTTTCATCAATGTTATAATTTTTAGATTTGACAGTTTCTTGTTTTTTCGATTTTTCAATTGTTGAATTTTTCGTTATCCGATTTTTTACTTTCGCTCTTTTTTCAACATTTCGGTATTTCAATTTTTTTTATGGTTCAATTTTTCAATTTTCGATTTTTTAATTTTACAGTTTTTCGATGTTTATTTTGACATTCTTCAACTTTAGAATTTTACAATTTGTCGATTTTTCTAGTTCTAGAAAATTTTGTTTTCCGTATTTTTCTATTTCTCGATTATTAATCAGTTTTTTGATTTTACATTTTCTTTTTTTCAATTTTTCAGTTATTTTTTCAATTATCGAGTTTGATTTTCAATTTTGCAACTGTTCGATTTTTTGTTTTTTAAATTTTCAGTTTTTTCATTTTTAAGTTTACAATTTTTTCTTTTCCAATTGACCTCTTAATTATTCGATTTTGAGTTTCTTTATTTTTGCAGTTTTTCGATTTCTCAATTTTTAAATTGTTCGGTTTTCAATGCTTCTTTTTCATTTTTTCAGTTTTACAATTTTACGTTTTTTTGATTTTTTAAAATTTCACTTTTAATAAGTTTGTCCTTTTGTAGAAAAATTAAAAAACGAAAAATTGAGAAAATGAAAAATTGAAAATAAAGTACTTCCAAGTATGTATTTCCAAGTTGTTTCGTTTCTTCGATTTTTTATTTTCTCAATTCGAGATTTTTAATTTTTTTCAAATAATTATTATTAGGATTTTTTTTTTCAAATGTACAATTCTTGGCTTTTTAATTACCCTTTTTTTCAGTTTCTGTATTTTTTAAAATCTTTGATTTCTCGGTTTTTAAATCTTTCGGTTTTTCGTTTTTTCGATGTTACAATTTTTCAATTTTTCCATGTTTCTTTTTTACAATTCCTTAATTTTTTAGTTTTCCGGTTTTCATTTTAAAATTTTTGAATTTTTGATTGTTTAATTTATAGAAGTTTTTGTTTTTCGTTTTTTCAATTTTTCACTTTCTCGATTTTTAATTAATCAGGGTTTTCAAGTTTCAATATTACAAATTTCAATTGTTTTAACCTTTTAATTATTCGATTTTGAGTTTCTTTGTTTTTTCAATTCTTCGATATCTCGATTTTTCAGTTTTTAATTTTTTGATTTCTCAATTTTTCAGTGTTACAATTTTCCGATTTTCTGATTTTTCAAAATTTCAAATTTAATAAAATTGTCCTTTTGTTGAAAAATTAAAAAAAGAAAAATTGAGAAAATAAAAAATAAAGTAGGTACTTCCAAATAAGTAATTCCAAATTATTTTGTTTCTTCGATTTTTTGATTTCTCAATTCGAGATTTTTATATTTTTCGTTTTTCTCATTGATAATTTTTCGATTTTTCCGTGTTTCGATTTCTCCCTTTTATAGTTTTTGGATTTTCGTTATGAAATTGTTGCATTTTTCAGTAAAATTTTTGTATTTTACGATTTTTTAATTTTTAGATATTTAATTTTTCGATTTTCTAATTTGCTTTTTAATTTTTCAATATTCTATCTGTTCAATATTACAATTTTCCGTTTTTTCGATTTTTCAGTTCCTAGATTTTTAATTTATCACTTTTTCAGGTTTCAATGTTACAAATTTTCGATGTTGCAGTTTCTATCTATTTCTCAGTTGTTCCATTTTTGCTTTTTTTTTCAAATTTACAATTTTGTAATCGTTTCATTTTTAAATTTACCGATTTTTAATTTTTCACTTTTTTCAAATAATTATTAGGGTTTTTATTATTCAATTTTTCGCTTTTCCATTTTCCGATTTTTCAGTTTCTGTATTTATTCAATTCTTCGATTTCTCAAATTTTTCTGTTTTTCAATCTTTCGTCTTTTCGATGTTACAATTTTTCAATTTTTCCATGTTTCTTTTTTTACAATTTATTAATTTTTTTGTTTTCCCCGGTTTTCATTTTAAAATTTTTGGATTTTGAAATTCTTTTTTTTTGTGTTTTCGATTGTTTAATTTATAGAAGTTTTGGTTTTTCGTTTTTTCAATTTTTCACTTTCTCGATTTTTAATTAATCAGGGTTTTTATGTTTCATTATTATTTTTCGATTTTTCAATTGTTTTTTCAATTATCCTCTTGTTCAATTTCTCAATTTTTGTCATTTTTCGATATTTCAATTTTTAAATCTTTCGATATTCGAGTTTCATTTTTCAGTTTTTAAGTCTTATTTTTTTGATTTTTTAAGATTTCTTTATTTTTTTCAATTCTTCGATTTCTCAACTTTTTGATTTTTCAATTCAATTCAAAATTTCGGTTTGAATAAATTTGTCCTTTTGTTGAACAATTAAAAAATGACAAATCGAGAAAATGAAAAACTAAAAATCGAGAATTTGAAAAATTTTAGAATTGCTTCGTTTCGTCGATTTTTCAATTTCTCGATTGTTAATTAATTAGGGTTTTGAGGTTTCAATATTACGATTTTTCCATTTTTCAATTATCCAATTCAATTTCTCAATGTTTTCATTTTTCATTTTAAAATCTTTGGATTTTGAAATTAAAAATTTTTGTATTTTTAATTATTTAATTTATAAAAATTTTTGTTTTTCGTTTTTTCAATTTTTCAACTGTTTTTTCAATTATCCACTTGTTTAATTAAGTTTCATGTTTCAATTTTCGATTCTGATTTTTTTGGTTTTTTTCAATTTTTCTTTATTTTTTCAATTCTTCGACTTCTCAATTTTTAAATTTTTTGATTTTTCAAAATTTCGGTTTGCATAAATTTGTCCTTTTGTTGAACAATTAAAAAATGAAAAATCGAGAAAATAAAGAATTAGAAATTGAGAATTTGAAAAATTTTACATCGAAAACTGCAAACTTGTTTCTTTTTTCAATTTCTCGATTTTTAATTATTTTGTTTTTGATGTTTCAGTGTTACAATTTTCCGGTTTTTCAAAAGTTCGGTTTGAGTAAATTTGTCCCTTGTTTAACAATTAAAAAATGAAAAATCGAGAAAATGAAAAACCAAAAATCGAGAATTTGAAAAATTTTAGAATTGCTTCGTTTTGTCGATTTTTCAATTTCTCGATTGTTAATTAATTAGGGTTTTGAGGTTTCAATGTTACGATTTTTCGATTTTTCAATTATCCAATTCAATTTCTCAATTTTTTCATTTTGCATTTTAAAATCTTTTGATTTTGAAATTAATTTTTTTGTATTTTTAATTATTTAATTTATAGAAATTTTTGTTTTTCGATTTTTCAATTTTTCAATTGTTTTTTCAATTATCCACTTGTTTAATTTCTCATTTTTTCCTTTGCGATTTTTCAATTTTAAAATTTTTGGATATTTCAAGTTTCATGTTTCAATTTTCAATTCTCATTTTTTCGTTTTTTTTCAATTTTTCTTTATTTTTTCAATTCTTCGACTTGTTCAATTTTTAAATTTTTTGATTTTTCAAAATTTCGGTTTGAATAAATTTGTCCTTTTGTTGAACAATTAAAAAATGAAAAATCGAGATAATGAAAAACTAAAAATCGAGAATTTGAAAAATTTTAGAATTGCTTCGTTTTGTCGATTTTTCAATTACTCGATTGTTAATTAATTAGGGTTTTGAGGTTTCAATGTTACGATTTTTCGATTTTTCAATTGTCCAATTCAATTTCTCAATTTTTTCATTTTTCATTTTAAAATCTTTGGATTTTGAAATTAAATTTTTTTGTATTTTTGATTATTTAATTTACAGAAATTTTTGTTTTTCGTTTTTTCAATTATCCACTTGTTTAATTTCTCATTTTTTCATTTGGCGATTTTTCAGTTTTAAAATTTTTCGATATTTCAAGTTTCATGCTTCAATTTTTGACTCTCCTTTTTGTCGGTTTTTTCAATTTTTATTTATTTTTTCAATTCTTCGACTTCTCAATTTTTAAATTTTTTGATTTTTCATAATTTCGGTTTGAATAAATTTGTACTTTTGTTGAACAATTAAAAAATGAAAAATCGAGAAAATAAAGAATTAAAAACTGAGAAATTGAAAAATTTTACATCGAAAAACTGCAAAAATGTTGCTTTTTGTCGATTTTTAATTATTTTGTTTTTTGATGTTTCAGTGTTACAATTTTTCGGTTTTTAAAAATTTTCTTTTGGTTAAAATTGGAAATCAAGAACTTTGTTAGTGCCTCTGGCGGGGACCTGTTTCACCCCTCTCCACCCGTAAGGGTGGGAGCCAGGGCCACCACCACCTTGAAACACAGGGAACATCATTCACTATTCATCATTCACTCTTCAAGCACTCTTCAAGCGGTTAACATAGTCTTTATATTCAATCTCGGGACCTAACGGTCATAATATCATACTCGCTCTAGAACACACTTGTTATTTATTTAATAAAACTATAAAACGACTGTCCGCTGCTCTTATTCATCATCCATCAAACTTAACAAACTTGAAAACTTTAAAATTGAAAAACTACAAAATTGTTTCGTTTTTCGATTTTTTGATGTTTCAATTTCGGCATTTTTTATTTTTACGTTTTTCCAATTTTTCAATTACCAGTTTTGCAGTTTTATCTTTAATTTTTGGATTTTTCATTTTAAAATTTTTGTGTTCTTGATTGTTTCAATAATACAATTTTCCGATATTTTAGTTTGGATAAATTTGTTCTTTTGCTGAAAAATAAAAAAACTAAAAGTTCAAAACTCAAAAAATTGTAAAATCGGAGAACTAACAAAGCAAAAAATGGATTAATTGAAAAATCGGAACATCGAAAACTGAAGAATCTGTAAAATTAACAAATCGGTGCCAATTAAAAAAGATGCTTCCACATAATAATAGATATAAAAACAAATCGTATGATTTTCCCTAGATCTATGATATTGGAAATGAACACTTTTGAATACACACGATGAATAATATTTGAATTTGGCGTCAGTTTGAATGAAAGACTGGAATAAAGAAGTCTAGATGGCGCCACTATCGAAAACGGACGCTGCATAACACATATCCTGTATTTACTACAGTATATCTCCAACGTGGTTGTAAAATATGAAATGACTAAATTAAAATCCAGCTGCTCTGATGTTCAGTACACCCACGTGACCCACTCACTTAAGTAATTATTGGTGGAAGTGTTTATTTCAGACCTACGCCAATGCAAAAGGAAACAACCAATATATCATAGACGAGTCATTTATTATATCACAAATTCTGTCGATCTGCATATTAAACACGTTTAATAATGCAGATCTTGTGTTTACACAGATTCTTAATTAATCCTACAGCTTACATAAATGGAATGGTCAAATAAATAGCTATAAACCTAAAAGGCTGCCACCAATAAATGAAATAATACTAAACGTCGACATAACTGAATTAAAAAATAACTGGACGGCACTTACACGTAAAGATAAAACTAGGACCTTCCTGACTTAAAAACTGAATATAAAAAGGCAAGAATAAATACTAAACACCTTAAGTAGCACGCATTGTTCAAAATATCCATCATTAAGTAACAAAATTGTATAGTTTTGATTTTTTTTAAACATTTAAACGCTTTAACGGAGTGGAAACTCGAAGTGTCGCTCAACTAGATCAATTCCTATTAATATTCGTAACATTTGTGTAACACACTTATGTAACATTAACTATAAATGTTGGAATCAACCTACGGGCGGAGTATTAAAGTTTGACCTACAAAAAAATCGGTACACTCGAAAAACAGGAGATACGTATTAGATATAACAAACATTTGACACATGAAACCTGTGTGGGTTCGATCGATAAATTCGAAAATTTACCTAGAAACATTTGATATTCATTCAATATATTCAAGTCTTATATTCCGTTTAACACCTACTAATTTATTGTTACGTGATTCTTCCCCTTTGTGCTTTTGACAGTCTACTTTTTTATGCGATTGATTAATTTCCTAAACGACGCAGTCCATTTTGTACGAGTCAGTTTGGCACAGTCAGCCTCGTCCAGAGTTCCATTCGGGCTGAATTTCTCTTTCGGCGTTGTGGCGTTGCTTTTGAAATCCCCGCAAATGTCCGAAGAGAAACCGGAATCGCTGCCGAAACCTGCAATAAATTTTTAAGAATAAAAGTATGCAACACACATTACACCCGGTCTTTCCTACATGACTGTGGCTCAGGGAAAAATGAAAAATATGTCAGTTACAGATACACAATTTGATAATAACGCGGCACGATTTTATGGTAATAAAATGTTTAACAAAAACATGAATGTAGTGTGGGAGAAATTAGTGAAGCAAACAAGGTCACCGTTATCCCATCATTGTTTGGTCTGATTTTCAGGTGATTTACACCTACAGCGCAATATTTTTTGAACTTGACATGGAAATGATTTACGAGATTTGGACGAAATACGGGGATTTCGACATTTGTCGATAGGTGAAGTATGTCGGAAGAATTATTGCGTAGATTCGGGGCTCTGATTTATCGTTTTGTTCCAATGTTGTAAAAATCATTTTTTAATTTTGAGATTAGATGGCGACCTTGGAATAACGAAATCTCTTGACCTTACATTAAAAATTTAATAGAAATATTACAAAAACAATTCCAGATTACATCAATATCGTCGTTCATCATCAGTTAAAGTGGATCTGAAAGTTTGATGAGATTACAAGTGGAAGCTTTTAGAGGAATTTAGTTTTTACAATTTTTATGAAGTTCGGATTTTTTTTTTTCGTTTCATTGAAATCAGAGTAGAAGTTGTTTAAATAAATTTTAACTATTTCAAGTAAAATTTTTACTTATAAAAATTTTTAGATTTTGATTGTTTTCAAAGTAGATTAGACAAACAGACTGACGGACGGACAAGGAAGATCAACATTTTCGTCTCCTATAAGCCCTGGACTTTGAGATTTGTCGCAATACGCATTAGCATATGGCTGGATAAGTTCAACATTTGTATTTGAGCGACGAGTTACAAATCAGATTCTGTGTAGCTTGAACAAAGTAAAATCAATACTGAAGGGCTATTTTACTGTCCATTTCAGAGAATATAATGTTAGCTGTTTCAAGCTTAATGCTGGAGCAATGCGATATTAGTCGAATGAATTTGTCCTTTACATAATACATATAGATTTTTACAGAGTCATGGTCATTGATACAAACTTAAAGCTGCCAAAAGAAATCACAATGTTCTCCATCGAGTATGCAGTAAAAGTTGTAAACGAAATACACGGAAAAATTGCGTTTTATTTATTATTTTTTTTATGGTGAAAATTCAGATACCAAACAAATTTTATTTACATCTGGTTTAATTTTGATATATCGATATCTCTTGGAAAAAAATGTAAATTGACAATTGAAAAACAACTATACAACTAGAGTGGAAATACTCTGAGAAGAACATACGTCGCAGTGGACGTAAAAGCGTCTTGACGAGTCCATTTGCAAGTGTGTTGGAATTTTCGAAAATGAAGCCGGAAATAACTTCTGCAAATGGCAATCAACAAAAAAAATATTTGGGTTATTTTGGTCAGTGATAATTTTGGAAGGTGCTCGAATAAAAGTCAAAATGTATTTTTTTTTAGTCATGATGTATTTTTTATTTTTATAAAACATAATCTGTTGATGCTCCCAGACCTAGATTTTGAAATACATACATCGTTTGAAATAAAATTCTGAAATATCCTAAAAATGACAATACGTTATTTCGCTGAATCTGGGAAAATAGTTGAAATTTTAGAAAAAATGAAGCCGAAAATAACATCTGCAAATCGAAATTAACAAAAAAAAAAAAATCTTTCGAAAGATATAGCGTGTTGATGGTTTCAGACCAATATTTTCAAAATATTCGCTTGAAAATTAAATTGTGAAACATCCCAAAAATGGGCGTTTATACTTTTGGCGATTCTGGAAAAATTGTCGAAATTTTCGATGAAATAAAACTGAAAATAACAGTTGCGAGCCGAAATCAACAACAAAAAAAATTGGTTTAGGTAATTTTCGAAAGTGTTCAGAAGAAGCTCAAAAATTTCATGTTGAAAAATTGAGCGTTTGGCATAGTTGTCCAAGATTCCACAAAAAAATTTAAGATATAAATCTCGATGAGTTGATTCGAAAAATATAGCGGTTTGTGGTTCCAAACCAAGATTTGCAAAATATTTGGTTTCAAAATAAATTTTTTTAAAATATCCCAAAAATGGCTATACTTCATTTTCATGATTCTGAAAAATGTTTTGAAATTTTCGAAGAAATGAAATATTCAAAAGTGTTCAGAAAAGGGTAAAAAAATTCATGTTGAAAAATCGAGTCTTTGGTAAAGTTGCCAAAAATTCTACTAAAAATTCTAAGAAACAGATTTCGATGAAATGATTCGAAAAATCTACGGTGTGTATGGTCCCAGACCAAAATTTGCAAAATATTTGATCAGATCATGTAAAATGTCTATATGGCTGTTTTGCTTTTGTTGATTTTGGAAAAATGGTTGAAATTTTCGAAGACATGAAGCCCGAAAATACCATGGAAATCAAGAAAAAATCGATTTCACATTGAAAAATTGCCCTTTTGATAAAGAAGTTGTCCAAAATTCCAAAAAAATCTTATAGATCTCCATGAGTTGATTTAAAAAAAATCTAGCGTATTTGTGGTCCCAGAACAAGATTTGCAAAATATTTAGATTCCAAAATCAAATTATTTAAAATATCTCAAAAAGGGCTATGCTTCATTTTACCGATTTTATAAAAAAGGTTAGAATTTTTGAAGAATTCAAGCCGAAAATAAAATCTACAAGTTAAAGTCAACAAAAAAAGCTCTTTAGTAAATTTTTGAAAAACGAAAAAATATGAAAAATTTTATAAGAGAAAAACAAAACATATTTTGAAAAATTGTGGTTTTGGCAAAGTTGCCTAAAAATACGCAAACAATTCCAGCATTTAGAACTCGACGACCTGAGTCCTAAAAACATGGCCTGTTGATGGTCCCGGACCAAGATTTTCGAAATATTCGGTTGAAAATAACATTTTTAAAATGTCCCAAAAAAGGCTATACTTGATGTTAACGATTCTAGAAAAATTGTTGTAATTTTCGAAAAATTGAAGCCGAAAATAATATCTGCAAGTGGAAGTCAACAAAAAAATTTCTAAAGTGTTCGGAAAAATACCAAAAATTTCATAAGAAAAAAATCAAAAATATTTTGAGAAATTGTAGTTTTGGTAAAGCTGCCTAAAAATACGAAAACATTTTAGGATTCAGAACTCGACGACTTGATTGATCTGTCCCAGACCAAGATTTTAGAAATATTCTGTTGGGAATTAAATTATTTAAAATATCTCAAAAATGGCTACATTTCATTTTGGCGATTCTGAACAAATGCTTGAAATTTTTGAAGAAATGAGTCCGAAAATAACATTTGCAAGTCGAAATCATCAAAAAATTTCTATAGGTAAATTTCGAAAGTGCTCGAAAAAAGTTCAAAATTTCATTGGAGAAAAACCGTGTTTTTGGTAGTTGCCGAAAAATTCCCAAAATATTCTGGGATGTAGATCTCGACGAGCTGATTCGAAAAACTATTGAACCAGATTTTCAAAATATTCGATTGAAAATTAAAATTTTAAATTATCCCAAAAATGGCCATATTTAATTTTTTCGATTGTGGAAAAATGGTTCGAATTTCCGAAGAAATGAATTCGAAGATCACTTCATCACGTCGAAATTGACAAAAAATCTCTTTTTAGTGCTCAGAAAATGGTAAAAAAAATCATATTGAAAAATTGAGCTCTTGGCACGGTTGCTTAAAGATCTACAGACATTTTTAGGATATATAGACTTCGACGAGTTAATCCCAAAAACATGGCCTGATAATGGTTCCAAGCCAAGATTTACGAAATATTCGGTATCAAAATGAAATTTTGAAAATATTACAAAAATGGTCATTGGCGATTCTGGAAAAATTATTGGAATTTTAGAAGAAATGAAGCCGCAAATATCTTCTGCAAGTCGAAATCAACAAAAAAAAATTACTTTGGTCATTTACGAAAGCGCCCGGAAAAATATCAAACATGTCATATTGAAAAATTGAGCTTTTGGCACCTTTGCTTAAAAATCCACAAAAAAAATTGATATAGATTCCGACCAGCTATTGATGATCCCAAACTAAGATTTGAGAAATACTCGATTTTAAAAGAAAATTTTCAAAATAACCCAAAAATGTAGATATGTATTTCATTTTGGGGATTCTGAAAAAATGGTTGGAATTTTTCAAGAACTGAAGCCGAAAATAACTATACCAAGTCGAAATCAACAAAAAAATTTCTTTGGTTGATTTTTCAAACTGTTCGAAAAGGATAAAAAGTGTCATATTGAAAAACTGAGCTTTTGACACTCTTGCCTAAAAGTCTACAAAAAATTTTGAGATATAGATTTCAACAAACTGTTGATAATCCCAAATCAAGATTTGGAAAATATTTGGTTTGAAAAGGAAATTTTCAAAATATGCCAAAAATGGATATATCTATTTTGTAGCGCGATCAGTACCCCTAGCGCCCTCTGTCACGCCCACGCACCACCACTACCCTGCCGCAGCACCCCGGTACTCGCTCGCTCCCTTACCAGAGGGCGGTGCGCCCTTTCACTCCCACGCGACGCATTTCTAGCCGCCTTTACATAGGACCCGAGCGGCCAGATTCGGCAAGTTTTTCCATCTGCGAACTTCACAGCTCATTTGCGTATCACCTTGCATCCGAGGGGTCTTGGAGGTCCAAATCGAGTAGTAAGTCGGCTTGAGTATCAGCGGCGTATCCGAGGGGTCCCGCAGGTCCGGCCGTGGAAAAACGCTCCGGGTGTTCGCGAGTGTACGAGTTATCAGGACTGTTCGTCCGCGGAGTGACCATTTTTAAGGACTCGTGTAACCAGTCTATGTCTATGCAGTGTATATACTATGTTTTGTTGAATAAAAGTTTTTACGGAATAAACCACGTGTTATAAAAAGTGGCGCCCAACTTAGTGGCACGAAGAAGGCGTCTGTTATAAAAAGTGACGCCCAACGAAGCGGCCCGAAACCGACCACAATTTCGCGAAAAACGAAGATTCCGACGCGAAGAAGTCCGCGA